CAAAGAGTATGAATCCTTGCAGTCACGAAAGCTTCAAATCTAGAATGTAATATTGTCATTAAAAACATTGCAACTATGATATTTATACTCTTAGGTTTTTTTCGGTAAATTCATGTAGGTAAAAAATAAAATTAATAGAAACAAAATAAATTAATAAATCACGACGTTTCGGAGGCAACACAAGTCTCCGTCATCAGGTGGGACCGTCACAGCTAGATTTACGATATCTATATATTCACTATATATATGATATTTAGTTCACATACGTTAAACAAACGGCCACCGACCCTTCGACATCTACCCTTGCAGTAAGGAACTTTATGTAATAAGGGTGTAAACATGGGTTGTACCCTCATTATTAAATGCTGTCCCGTCTGATAACGATTGGTATTCTATGAACACCAAAAGCGCAGAGTGAAGATGAGTGCCAACAAAACGACAGAGGTGGGGGTGAGGGTAATTGCATGAGTGGCTAATTGGTACAATCGCTGGTTAGGAGTAGTGTTATGATAAGTTGGAAGGATAACTCCAGCATTTCAATTTTATTTGTTTAGGGGTAACGTCAGTGAGAAGCATAGCAATAGTGGCCGGTTGTTAGTCGGTTCGGGGAAGAGATGTGCTTTTGGTGCATGGCAAGCATGGTACTCAAAGTCTCATTGATAATCATTTGTCGATGCAATGCCCGATCCGCAAATACAAAGGAGACATCACAGCAATACACGCCACTGCTGCTGATGCACGCGAATGCGAAATTGTAGTTGTTGCTCTGCATCTACACCAGCCATACGAATGAAGAATAATATAATTGGTTAGGTAGGGTCATTGGGAAGGATTCTATTACTCGTGGCTGCTTGGTACAGAAGTTGGTTGGGGGTAGAGTTATGGTAGGTGGGGGGAATAGTATTCGTGGCTGGTTTTCTAGTTAGTTGGGGTCAGTGGGAGAGCCTTCCCGAGTGTTTGATCGGCAGTGTGTTAGGAGTAGAGATATCTTCAGTGAGAGAGATAGTGTGAATGGCTGGTGGGCTCTAGTTAATCAGCGTTTCGATAACAGGGCTATGGTTCAGTCGGCGAGTGAGTTTTGCCTCCAATCTTCTTACCCCCTCCTGCCCATTGTAAAGTTTTTTTTGGACGTTTTATATGTTGGTCTCGGTGTGTTTCCGTTGTTTACCCTAAGATTGTTTATTGTGTCCTAGAATGACCACTGCTTGTGTGTACATTTGCTGTTCGCTCCACCACCCCACCACGAAGAGATAGCAGTTGGCTAGCAACACACACACACACACCCGTGCGATGCTGTGGTGCGACATTTATTTGCTTTGTTTGATACGTTGTGTAAAAAAAAATAACAATCAGCATTGCATTTGGAAATAATTATTGGGATCAACTTGAATGTATGAGCAAATCACACGCAATGCGCCCCATCCAATCAGGGCTCATGGAGTTAAGCGGATTTGATACATTCTAGATTTGAAGCTTTCGTGACTGCAAGGATTCATATTCTTAGGTTTTTTTCGGTAAAGTCACGTAGGTAAAATGTTTAAATTAAAATTAATAAACGTAAGATAAAAAAATAAAATAAAAATCACGACGTTTCGGAGGCAACACAAGCTTTCGTTTTCAGGTGGATCCGTCACAGCACGATAGCTGTATCAAGTGAGAGAAATTCCAAGAAAACAGTCCTTGTATATATACGGGTTTGATACAGGTAGCAGGGTTAGGTGATGTGCAGCAGAGGGCAGTAGAGCAAAACGCATTTTCCCAATGCACTACAGTACTTTTCTCAAACGCCTGAATCGAAAACAAACAAAAACCCAATAGCAACAACAAATACCGCGGCAGGCAAATGCCTGTGACTAAGCGACAATCAGATCCAACTCGTGTAGGTTAAATATCGAGATTTTCCGATTCAGTAACATTACTGTGCTGTAACTTAAGCGATGGCACACTCATCCAACGCGCGTGGAGAATCAACACAACGCAACACATTCGCCAATAAACACTTGGCCTTTAAAAAAAAAACGAATATAAATGAAAAAAACAGGTGAATTTTCAAGCAATGTCCCTTCTTCGTGGCAATCTACTTGCCGTTCCAGCTCTTTTTGTCCACTGCTGGATAAGGGCCTGTCCCCAAAGTCGTGTGGATTGTGGGGGTTATTTGACCATATACTTCGTTGCCCTTTGGTGAAAGGGGGGGGGGACATAGAAGTTACTGTGCAGTACTGCAATGGATTTTGCTACATTGCCCCTTTGCTGCCCGACACAGCGAGCAAGGGGTCTGAGACGGACACCTGACCCAAATTGAACCTTATGGCGGGACCCCGGGGTCCCGAATAAACGGAAATCAAAATCGTAATTAATACATTTATTATACTTTCTGGTTCTTTCGGTAAAGTCACGTAGATAGAAAAAATAATAAAAGAACACGACGTCGCAACACAAGCGTCCGTCATCAGGTGAGAAAGAATTGATCTCACCTGATGACGGACGCTTGTGTTGGGAGCGAAACGTCGTGTTCTTTTATAATTTTTTCTATCTACGTGACTTTACCGAAAGAACCAGAAAGTATGGATTCCTGCAGTCACGAAAACTTCAAATCAAGATTGAATACATTTATTTTTGGCGACTCCGTCCCACCGCGCACAAAAACGACGCGACCCACCAGAAATCAATCCTCTCGTTCTTCGCAAAGCATCCGTCGTTGCCAAAATTTCCGTAGTCGTGAACAAAATTTTGAAACTTTGATTAGCGCATCGTGAAGAGCTCGTCGAGAGGAATAGATTACCGTATCGTTCGCCTTCAACAGACGTAAAATAACGTCGCAACGCCATAAGGTTCAAATGTAACATTAATAAACATGTGATCATCCAGAAAGAGCCCAAACGCAAAGATCAACAAACACGGAGGAGACATCGTGGCAGCGATTACACTCCGCTTACTGCTCCTCCTCACGATGTTATCAGAATCCGTAGGCGTCGACCCATGCGGTTTTGCCCCGTATTCTTATACAGGGAAATCGAGTTTTCAGGTCCATATGAAGTACAGCCGTTTCGATACGGACAAATAAAACAAACATCATTTTGGCAAATTGCCCGATGATGCTGGATGTAATTACCAACGAAACGTCGTACTCAAAAATTGTAAATGATGTTAAATCACTCTTCAACACACCGGTGGGCTTAAGTAGTGAACTATTTGTCCTTTGTAAACGTGACACATTTTTTACTGTTTGGCCGTGTCGGGTGGTAGAGGGTTACAACACATTTATAAATAACGCGATCTAACCCAAAAACTTTTTTATGAATAATATTGGTCGCGAAAGCCGGCGTATTAAACAAAGTTTTTTGTCTATTTGTTTATGTTTCTCCCGTGTGATGGTGACTTTGTAGGATGAACGTCGAGATTTATAAAGGGTACGGGGTGACCAATAAGGTGTGAATTGGTCAGTAATAAGGAAGGGCACTGATAAGGGTATGAGAATCTGAATATTTATTTATACTGGAGGAATCAGATGAGCTAAAAAGCTATTTTTTCACAGATGTTCCAGTAGGGGCGGATAAGAACGTGACAACAACAACCAATACAAGAACAAGATAAGAGTGCAAAGTACGAGAAAAGTAAACAAATCACTCAAACACAAACAAATACAACACTAAACCATCCACATTCTACCAGACAAAGCCCACTGAGCTATTAACTTATTTTTCAAAAGCGACCTGGCCACAACAAAGTTGAGCTATTGTCTGTGGTCAATGCAAACATGACTCCTTGTAAAAAAAGGTGTCAGTTTTGTTGCCAGATAAAAGGGTAAAAATACAATTATCTTGAAAATTGTAGTTTGCTGCTCACTGTGGCGAGATGTTAACCACCTCGCCTGGTGTTCAAGGAGGTCGTGGGTTCGATCACGACCCTGACGCTTTCATCTGTGTCCTCCACATTTTAAATCGGCCATGCGTGCAGAGCAATTGGCCGCTAGACATGTCCACGTGATAAGCCACTACGTTGAGCCATCATATGTTTTCGTCAGGTCGGTTCTAAAAAAAAAAAGCCACGTTTTAAACAAAAAAATGAAAATCTACATCAAGCTATAGTACGAGGAGAAATGACAAAAGGATTTGTAATTCGATAATTGTTTGTTTACCCTTTTATCTGGCAACAAAACTGACACCTTTTTTTTACAAGGAGTCATGTTTGCATTGACCACAATACCTGCAGTCATAATGCAAACAAAAAACACAACTCTGATAATGTATGCACTGTCCTTGAAATTGATTGGTCCACACCCGAGATAGCTTTCCTTAGAGCCTAGTCTCACATGGGTTGGACCAGATGACGCCAAAAGGCGCACAACTCAAAGACAATGCACCATCAGAGTATGAGAGCTCGGGGTAAGCATTTACATCATTGGTACCTCATTTGCCAGTAAAAAATATGATAATTGTTTTTTTACACTTTAATCTGGCAACAAAACTGACACCTTTTTTTCAAGGAGTCATGTTTGCATAGACCACAATACCTGCAGTCAAAATGCAAACAAAAAACATAACTCTGATAATGTATGTTTTATTTTTATTATTTTATTACTTCCCTTCTACGTGACTTTACCGAAAGAACCAAGAAAATGTATGCACTGTCCTTGAAATTGATTGGTCCACACCCGAGACAGATTTCCTTAGAGCCGAGTCTCACATGGTGTTGGACCAGATGATGCCAAAAGGCACACAACTCAAGGACAATGTATACATTATCAGAGTTATGTTTTTTGTTTGAATTCCGACTGCAGGTATTGTGGTCAATGCAAAAATGACTCCTTGTAAAAAAGGTGTCAGTTTTGTTGCCAGATAAAAGGGTAAAAAAAACAATTATCATATTTTGCTACTGGCAAATGAGGTTCCACTGGTGATTTGTAATTCAATTGGCAGTGCAAAGGGTGGAGCTGCAGCCCCCCCCCCACCCCTCAATTTTCAACTTCCTTCTTGATCGCCGTTTCCTTTTGGCGTCAGTAGCTGGCTCACTCGGGTACAGCACACAACACACACAGACACACGCACACAAAAGTCTGGCACAACACTAGTGCAGTGTTTTTCTCGCGTTCCTCGTACACGCAGGGAATTGTAAACAACAACAACAACAACGGTGGCAACAACAACAACAACAGCGGTCGTTGAATGCATTAGGGGACATCAGCCGCATTTGCCCTCCTCCATCGATATAAACTGGTCCAGAAAAGGAATGTGTTTGTCGTAGTATGCGGCTGCAGCGTGGGATTTCGGTTCATCCAGGTGAGTTTGGATCGGTTATATCGGCTTTGTGTGCGGCTGTGTTAATTGTTGCGGTGTGTGTTTGTGTTTTTTTTATTTTGAAGTAAAGTGGGGTGGGGGGGTCTCGGGGTCCCCTGGCTCGGCCGAGTTTTGTGCTTGCCAACCCGGCGGGCTCGCTAGCCGAGGGTCGGTGCCTCGCTGCGGCCTACGTGACGCAGAATTTAAACTTGCGACTTTTTAATGTACATTTTTCAAGTAATATTTGCAAGCGATGGAACGTGCGATGACGACTGCAGCTTATTGTTCAGACGATGCTCTGTTAAAATGCTCACGCGTAGGAGTTAAGGAGGATAGAGGAGTTAAGGATGGTGAATGGGATGAGTGGAAGTGCCTAAGAGATTCTTTAATTTGTCAAAGATCTATACAGATGAAACGTGTGTGGTCGCATACAAATACGTTTTTGTTTTGTATTCGACCGTTTCCGCTGTTGCTTTTAGTTGTGCGTGATGGTTAGTACAGTACTTGTTTATATAAAATTGATTGACATGTGTGCACAGTAGCGTTGAGACATAGACGTATACAGTACTGTACTGTACTTAGAATTGCACGGGAAGGAACAAGACGTGGATTTGAGAACACACACAAGGTTAGTAACATCATTAAAGCTGTTCAGAGTTGTACGTTGGGGGCATGTGGTGGGCAGGACGTGTCAACTGCCCGAACGGGGCTATTCAAAGAAGTTGTTGGCATTTCGATTTGAAGCTTTCGTGACTGCAGGGATTCATATTCTTGGATCTTTCGGCAAAGTCACATAGAAGGGAAATAATAAAATAATAAACATAATACATAACAACATTCTCACGACGTTTCGGCCACAACAGCTCTGTTCTTCACCTGAGAACGGCTGCTTGTGTTGTGGCCGAAACGTCGTGAGAATTGTATTATGTAGAATTTTCATTGCTTTATTATTTCCCTTCTACGTGACTTTACTGAAAGATCCAAGAACAAGTTGTTGGCAGTCATGGAATAGAACGCCACACACACACACAAACACGTCCTTGGGAACGTCTATAGGGGAGATGGAGCGATGTAATCAGCTCCTGTGCATCGGCTGTGTTGAATTATTCAGAGATGAGCGGTGGATTTTTTTTGGGAGAGGCCTTCATCCAGCAGTTGTTTGATCATGGCCCATCATGATGATAATTCTGAAACAATGCTTGTGAGATGATGAAGTCCATTCGTGTTCAATAGGGGACTTGTGAGAGTGATGGGTTTTATTGAAGATAAAAACAAAAAACTTCCAGTGTCATTCCGGATTAATTTCAAAGTGTAATTTGCTTTGTGTCTGTGTCTCTAGTTTATTTGATTTCTAATACAAATTCGCTACGCATTGGATACACTTAAAAAAGAGCGCCAGAGATGTGAAGGTTTTGTTATGCTTCACTTTAAATTGGCACAACGAGGAGGATTGCATGAACTATCTGTGCATAGTGATCACTGTACTAATATAAATATGCATTCATAAATGGAGCAGCCCCAAGGGGGGGGACCCCTTATGTTTAAAATTAGGCGGTTTAAAAGAATGCATGGCCGTCATCTCTCACTGCCATCACATAAATTATATGTACCCTCTCGTATCCATATACTGTACATAAGAGATCAACTTTACTGCTGCGATAGTGCATATGTACCGTAATGTACATCTTGTGCACGTGTATACAGTGTTATTCAGTATGTGTGTTCTGACATGTCTCTTTCTGTTCGTTCCCGTTGGACGTTACAATAATCTATCTCCGTCAGCAAATCTGAGTTGGTTCTTGCAACGTAATGTAGAAGGCTGCAAAGTTGGGCTCAGGATAAATATGAGCAAAACAATGGTCATTTAGTGTGCAACTGGAAAACAGAGTCATACGTACACCTGAGACAATTGCTGAAAGTGAACCTGAATCAAGGTTATGGGAGGGTGTGTGTGTGTAGGTTGCAGTGCTTTAGGAAAGCTGAACTCCAAAATAGAAAGTAACATACCTATGCGCTTAACGCAGAACGTTTAAAATCGTTATTTACCACCTATTTGTGACATACGGATCATAAACATGCTCATTCGTGAAGAAAGTATATACAAAAACTGAAACAAGTGGCGCAAAAAAGCTTGGAGAGTCGCGTGTTTGGAAATACATTGATAAGTGTAACACATTGATTAGACAATTTATCCAGGTTATAGACAACCTTTCTGAACGCAAGTAAACTGGGTTTTGGGTAAGAGAGAGCCACTAGTAGGGATGATTGCCAATGGTGAGTGGCAGAACGGAATGTGTTCCAGAGTACTTTTACCTCCGAGATGTGAAGATGAAATCAGCTTGTGTGCAAGGTGCTGGTCCAATCATTACAGCACACGCAATCGTGACAGAGATGGCAGCAGCAATGCCTTTATTCAGCAATTATACATATTGACCTTTGCCTGCTATTAAATGTAGTCGTCTTCCAGGTAGGTTCGTGCTGCCAGTGGTCAGTTTGCCTAAAACATGTCAAGTGGCATTTCAGCATCCTGTGGTTTGTAATTTAGAGTGGTAGTAAGTTAAGGGACAAAACAGCGTTAGGGTTGTGTTTGTCACTGACAATAGCAGCCAGTAAAGCTGAACACAGCATTTAAATACTGTCCACACCACTTTTCTAGAACGTAAACTTTTATACCTTGCCATTTATAAGGCTTTCAAAAACATTTCAAATGCCGTTCCTTTATGTACTGCCGTAAACTAAACACGTTGTGTAAAGCTTCTCTCCATTAACTGTGTGCGTGTAAAAAAACCTGTGTTCACGACCTGTCCCACCGTATTAGCTCATGGTGTGGGCCATTTCCGTTCTGTTGACCCCTTAGGGCAGTAAGAGGTTCAAAGCTTATAGCCCAAGGCTTAGTAAAAACAATGTGAATGCATGCTACATGCGGGCAGCTGTATTCAAATGTGGTACAGTAGTGACAGTGGATTAAGTGGCGGTATAGTGGTTAACGCGTGGTACAAAGATTAACTCGCTATGCTATGAGCCCAGTGACCTGAGGTCGATTCCTTGGCACGGCAAACATCAGTGGTAAGTGATAGAACCGGTCCTGGCTTCTCCTTCAGAAATCCACACTGACCAGCATGGCTAGAGTATGGTCAAATAAACACCTATAAGCTGACATGGAATCAGTAGGCCTTGATTCGTTCGGTGGCTTGAGAATGTCTTAAATATTTTGGTGGCAGTGTGATTTCGTGCAAATCTGGGATGGTTGATGGTGATTGGGGAATTTTTTCTACATTTTATTTGGGGCATCTACAGCATCCTTTTTTTCACTCTTAAATGAATATCTGACACCTGCAATTGGTTATTTATGCCCGCGTGCGATAACCTATTGACTGCTGAGTTAATGTAACAAATGCTGTGTGAATGGAACACGTGTGAGGAAGTCCGCCGAGGATGTGGAGAAATTAAGGTAGTTCGTGGTGCAGGTGGCCCGGTGGATTATCGTACTGAAGTGAGTTAACCCTGCCCCGATAATCGTGATGAATCGTCAAATATGACATGTGACATTACTGTGATTGTCTTTGAAGTTGCACTCGGAAGTGCAACTCGTGACAGTAATTATGAATCATATCAGTCAGCTGTGAAAAGCAACTACTTTTGTCAGTGACATAGAACGCTGTTCATAATGTATGCAAATCTGGGATATTTAAATATTTGATCAGTTGAGTAATATTTGTTGTATATGATTGTTCTCATTATAATCGTCATAGAGATAATCTACAGATTGTTTTTATAGAGCTATGAGTCAAAGTACGATATGTTCACGTTGAACTGTACAGGTATGCACATGTTTTTCAGAAGCTGTGGGTAATGTTTGACCTGTATCTATGCACTGTATCATTTCCTCTGTAGCACCGATTCTTTTTTATGGCACCCGGTTATAATCGACATGTTTGTTTGTGAAACTCAATTCATATTAGCTTCATTCCCCTGTACACATTTACATTATTAGTTGTGAATGGATCTAACAAAAAAAGGTCAAAGTGACTTATACGTCGAAATTGCAGCATGATGGCACTAATTAACTACGGCAAACATATTAAAATCCATTATCCTGGCAGTATTTTTGGTTAATAATTAAATGAATGCAATCCCAATTTGCCTTCTTGTCCCTTGATTTACGACTTTATATTCGCCCCCCCCCCTCTATTTAACCCGCAGGTAAGTCAATAACAGAAGCTGCCTTGAGCTCTTTGAGATCACATGCCCCGCAGCTGCCTTGCTCGTTTCCTAATCGATAATGTCTCCTTGTTGCCCAAACCATTGTAACCCGTGCGTGTGCAAGTGGAATCATCCGCAACGAAGAGCAAACATTTTTGTTGTGTTAAACATGGACCATGCATGTGAATCAGTGCGGTTGTGTGTGATTGTGCGTCTGTGTGTTTTTTTTAAACCAAGGAATGCTATATTGATGTATAAGAAGACACTGACTCGGATCTCATTTTGGGAAAACAACTGATTGTGGCAGTAGTGGGCTCTCGACGAGTAAGAAGGATAACAACAACAACAAAACACATTTTGTGAACCACAATTGAAAACGCACCGGTTAATTTTGGGAGCTTAGAGGGGCGATGAGGAATATTGCCATCCTTGTCCCCAGGATGACGGTAGCTTGCAACCATTTAACGAGTCGTGGGAGAGGTAGAGAACTGGTAAAGATAATATTCTTCACGACGTACCACCCGCCCACCTGTTAGTTTCTCACAAAAGGTGCCTACAAAAATCGTGTCGTGAATTACAAATGAGCAGACCAAATGCAAGTCATGTCTTCAAACGAATTACCACGTCTGATTTCCAACTAATATAGCTGACGTGGCAAGGAGACCCACATCCGTTCACAGTACCCTTTAATATCTGCATAGAAATGCGAAGAAGAGCCCCATTGTACTGTTGTTGATTAAAATAATTAAAACACCCCGACCAGAGAGATGTTGCAACGGCCAAGACCCTTGTCTGCGGCT